GAAAAACTGCTAATAGAACGCCTTACGGAACCCTATCCATGAAGAGGCATCAATATTTGCATTTGCTTTTGCCTGTTTATCACATTCTACCATCTTTGAGCATCACCTTCAAGTTTGTATGTCGCCAACTTAACCTTATGCACCTCTAGACATCCTAGAACCTCAAAAATCTTCTGTCCGTGAGTGATCCAATTTTTTGCATCCACTAGGTCAGTGACGAGCTGAAGGATTAAGGCTTGTGTTTCTGAAACCTCTCAAGCCATACATGAATGTCCCCATCAGGTGTTACCCCACTGGTACCTCTGGTTGGATTTAAATTACCACCCCCAATGTTTCTAAATTTGGTGGAGGTCCTCTGGTAGCGTGCTGCTAAGCTTCCCCAACTGCTTGGGCCACAATACTGGGCAACAAATTTGAAACCGTTTGATTTACGGCCGCTAAAATAGTTGGGTCCACTTATTTATATAAATATATTATTCAACAAAAGTTAAACATTGTTCTGTAATGAAGATTTCATCCACTTATTTAAAATTGAAGGTTAGTTAAACATGCCCATTGCAAATAAATTTAATCGGATGTAGTCATGGTTATGTTCTTCTGTGCTAATATGCGTTTATGTAATAATAGTTGTATTTAATTCAAGGCATGATATTGCAACTTTTGACCTTTCTAATCATATCCCCCTGAAATAGCCAAAATACAAAAGAAAAATGATTAATAAGAGTCCCAAGCACGTATAAACAACCCACAGATAATACAAAAGAAAGTTGATTAATAAGAGTCCCAAGCACATATACCCGTCCGTTGGTCGGGTACACGTCATGACTTTAAACAGTTTCTAAAAGTTCCTAAAACAGACCTCAAATAAAGTGACGATTTATCAACCTGACCAAATCGATAATATGAGAAATGTGAACATAAATTTATGTGACAAAGGTTGATCCTCTATTAATCATGACACTACTGCTAAGAGAAAATGCCTCTTCAATTTGTCAATTTGTTTGTTCATATGAAACAATAGACTATATATGGTTTATGTTTTATTGTTGTTTCCTTCTAGTTGCAGGAAATGTGGGAGAACGAAACATAGAAGTAAACAAGTAAAAGAAAGCAGAGAAAGAAGTAAGAGAGGATGGAAATGAACCAAGATCCATCAACAAACACCAAAACACAATCAAGACTTGAACTTTCAGATAACTGCATGCAAAAGACTAGAAACAGAAAGAAACCAAGATAGCAGCAACATAACTCGTTGATATCGGATTCATATATTCGAATAAAAAAACTGCTACAAAATTGTCCTCTAAAACCATACTCTATGCTTGTGAAAGGGTTGAATACAAACATCAAATATCAAAACCGATTAATTGCTTTGAAGGTGTCGTTATGTCAATTATAAAACATCAAATGTCAAAACCTGGCAAAAGTGTGAAAATACAAAGCTACTGAAAGTTCACATGAAACAATCCAAAACATAAAATAAAAGCTTGTGGAGTTGAAGTGTCAACGGATTTATGAAGTTACCATTGCTCACCAAACTACAACAAACAGCAGACATAGAACCCAAAAATTTTAAGATTTATTTTTATAAGATTCATTTGGAGTTCTTTTGTTTGTTTAAGATTTGTTTTTATAAGTTCGATAAGATCTTTGTTATAAATTTGGACCACACATATTTTGCATATTTCCACTTTATATCGTATGGCAAATGAACTATGAAATTTTCTATTCTATGGAGTATGAAGACTATGAAGATTTGTTTTGTCATGCTATGCGTGTACCGTATTTGGATCCACACAACATAAAACCTTATCACATTTTGCAGTGTGGTATTTTTCGGTTTTAACGTGTGTAGTTTGGTAACATGTTCAAAACTACACTTACACTTTGGTTTACGGTTTTCGCTCTAAGCCGGACTGTACAAAGTCGAAAGCATCCTTAGTTTGAACTCCATGTTTTTTGCATATATATATATATTTAAATATTACACCATGTAGTATTGTGTCAATAAACAACTAGTATATACACATGTAATACGACGGGCATTATAAGCCGATAGTTTTTAGAGTAAATTACGTTTTTAGTCTCCGTGGTTTACACTTTCTACCCATAGTGGTCCGAAAATCAAAATATATATAGATTTGGTATTCCTGGTACGCATTTTGCACTTATTAAGTCCCTCCCTCTAACGAAATCAAAAAGATTTTGTTAACCCTGTTAAATCTGAGAGCATTTTGGACTTTTAGTCTTTATCCTATTAAACAATTTAAAATACTTATTAACTGATAATATATATATATATATATATATATATATATATATATATATATATATAAAA